TCATCATGCACAGTTACAGCAATACATAGATCAATTTTACAAAAATGTCTATATATTTTTTTTACTTATCACGCACACAGGAATGCCACCTAATGATATTCATAACTCAACTCTTTTAACAACTTTGACATTCACCGATTTTTATTCTTGATAATAATGTCAGATACATCGAAACGACGAGTAACGTTACTCCGTATATTTAATATTTCATTACATTTGTTTTTATTGCTTCAGGTGGTGGTGGCGCTTCATGTAACGACGCAAGTAAATACTGCCCACTCTACGCCAAATACTGCTCATACCACCCAGTTGTGAGAAAGCAGTACAAGAATACCTGTAGGCTATGCTAGTAACATGCTGCATTCAGGTTTGTTTGTTAAGCATTAGGCATAACGTAATTGTTCAAACTGTCTAGCCAAGAACGTTACTGAATTGTATGAAAAAAAAAAGTTTTCACTTCAAGCTCGTGGAATTTGACTGTGTTCTGTTTTTAGTTTAATATTTGCAATTTAAAACTTGAACACAAAGGAACAAGTCTGCGGAGAGGGGTCAAGTTAATGAAACTACACACTCCGTCTGGTTTCAGAAACTCAATACTTCCATAAATATATCAATCTGTTGAAGTTATGTTATTTACTTTCTTTGCACAGGTTGACGGGCTTGCAAGATTCACGTCACAGGCTTCTATTGTGGTATTATGGATATTTTGGGGTTAGTTACATCTATATGTCTCTTGGTTGTTACAATCAAATAAAAGATTGTTTTGTGGGCACCACTTGTTACTACTGGTTAAACTCGCTCAATATATCTGACAAGTGATCCTACAGGTGAAAGAGAAAACAAACAGCGGTTACAAGCATAACAAACAGGTTTCGAGCTGCTGTTTGTTTTCTATTTCTCCTGAAATTGAAATGGCCAAAAAACGATCATTTTTATAATCCTACGGGTATTCGGTTTCGACAGTTTCTGACTTTATGGAGCTGGTGGGTGGCGGGAATTCTTTATTGGCTTTCACCCTGAATTAACAAAAGATGATCTGTAGAGATAAATGCTAAAAGCTACAGATAGTTTGAAGTCATTATGATAAAATGTGACCATTTTCTGGGATGTTTTGACCTACAGAACAATGATTTCATGATTGTATGGAATTTTTTGATTTTATCATGGTCCTCAAAGCAAAGCATAAAATTGTACTTATAAAGAAAAATTTACTCGGTGGCTTGGAGGTATGAATTTATTTTCTCGTGGTTAAAACAATATTTTACTTACTCGCCGCGTTCGTTCTTAAAACGGTATTGCAATTACCACTCAAAAATAAAATTCATATCTCCGCGCCTTCGTGTAATATTTCAAATGTACCCTGACCCATAATTAATATATTCTGACATTCTGGTATATCAAACTTTTCGCTATGTGTCTCAAGCCATAACTGAGATATCCAAAAGAAAAATCAGAAACAAAAGATCGAAAAACACAAAAAACACAAGATTTCAAGATCGACTTTCTCCGGGTTTTTTTGTTTTGTTTGTTTTCCTTAAAAGATGTAATAAGCAAGGCAATAATATTTCATGATCATCAGCAATTCAAATATACGATATCGCATATGCAAGCTCCTGCTTCTTGTTCAACGGGTAAAATAGGGGGCTCGAATCTCGTTGAAGTGACTAAGTATATGGAAGTAGTTTGGCGTTCTTTAAAGTTCTTTATCACACGTCTGCAATGCCGTCAACCCCTCTTTCCTTCCCATGGCACAATGCGAAATTCGAAATTACATTTACGTACGGCGCTCTATATTTAGGAGGCCATTGTCCATGATAGTCGCGACTCTGTTTTGGTAAAGTTTTAGAGCCTGTTTATTTCACGAACGGTTGTCCCTGATTGCAAGATCACCTTCCACAGCCAAAATAAACGACCAAGACGTGAGAACATTTTATACGCATTGTACTTCTTTGTAAGACGACATTTAGGAGAGCAGTTCCCCTTAATAGGTCTTATTTTTCAGGTGTTATGTCTATTTCCAGACAAACTCTGATATAAAATATAGCAAAAATTAGATTATAATTATAAAATCAATGAGAGTTTAAAATTAGACTGTGCTCTTAAGAAGACATCAGTCCATCTGCGAGCATGACATAATTTCGGTTGCACAAACAAGGACATCACAGAATATAACTGAATTAACAGAGAAAAAAAAGTGTCTTGAACAATAACACATCCCTCAGTGCAAAGCTAAAGTAAAGTTTGCACTGCTTTAGAAGAATATGCCTATACATGTATCTGAGAATGAGTAGTTCTTAGACCAGTTTTTACCTGATTTTTGAAATTCTAGTATGCGTTGTAAGATTGTGAAATACCATCCACATGTGTTTGCGGCATTCAACAAGGCGATGAATTTTGTAGTTACATCTATTCACACTTCTTTTGTACGAACATAATATTACGCAATTATGGGTCGGTGAATGAACCTTGCCGTTTTGCTAACGTGGGAAAAAATCATGCCTTTTACTCAATTCATCAATTCAGAGTAACCTTTAGCTTCGTTTGAATAGACTACTTCCCACATATTGAAATTCAGCTTGATGGCGAGGCGTAGAGACAAAATCAAGAGAAATGAATAAACAAGCTTTAGGTGACTATAATTCAAAAATGGCATGGTGATTATTTTTTTAATATTATGAAATTTTAATAAGTATTATAAGATGCAACTTTTGGAAAAGTTAAAAAATATCT